CTTTCCCTGCTGGCAGTCCTTGAGCTCTGTGGAGTAAAGAAAGAAGGGCATAAGAGGAGGATATTTCTAAGAAATAAAAAAAGCTTTGGCTTTTTACAGCAGATTATCTGGGAAGAGGGTCTCCTCAGTGTGAGTAAAACTTGGTAGTTGTATGGAGATTAAAGTGGACTGAAAGACACAGAAGAACTATTCAAGCTTACCTCAGCAAAGCTACATTTCCTCCATTCTTTTGTTTGCCCTAGATGTAGGTCTTGGCACTCTTCCTGCCAAAAGATGCTGTCATTCCCTTCCTTTCCTCCATTCATTTAATTTCATGTGAGAAAGGAAACTATTTCATCTATGTGGGTAGCATGATACTGTTGCTCTTTTTTCTGCCCACCTTTGGAAGAAGATAGTCATCAATTCACTGAGATGCTTTTCATACCAAACTTCACTATAAAGAAAGACCAATATAATCCATGGGAACAGATGACATTTCATGGTAGATTTTGCTGAACTGGTCAGTGATAGGTGCTATTGCAACTAGACTACCTGGTTAAAGGTTCTTTCCATGTGAGTGTAACTATGAGGTATAACTTATAAAGAACACTGTGACTATAGATAATGGCTTGACCTTCAGGGCCTGACATTCTTCTGGGACTTTTTTGAAGGGGGATGGCTGGCTAATTGGGTCAGTTTGCTTTGGTTTGTGGCCTGTCATTTGGAGAACACACAGATGTTGATCAGACTTGCACAGCCTCAAGTCTTTACTCTCTCTTAGTGTGATGTGTAAGATACTTGGGTAGTCTCCTTCCAGCTTCTGGGGTGCCACATGCAACCCTACTGCCAGGCATATATATTCTGGCTAGTCACCATGACAAGGACATCAGTGGGAGAGGAGGCATGGAAAACTGGCTCCTCTCCTGTGTCTGCAAAGCAAGGTCATAAACTGCAGCAGTAGATGATATGGATGAAGTACCAGTAGAAGTTTTCTAACAATAAACATAGTCATGCACTGGATCCACTTGTCTGGGGGTGCTGTATGATGTGGAATAGGCAATGCTTAAATATTCTTAAAAAACAGCTACACAAACCTATTGCAGAAATGGTCATAGATGTAGATAATAGGCCCTCAGACGGCAGAATGGATTGGGTTAAACTAATAAGGGTTTTTTTGCTCTACTTTTTATGATTTCTTGAACATGTTAACAGAGCTGTGGAGATGTTTTGGCCTCTTTTCCATCTCTTGACCTATAAGAAATGATCTCTTGGAAAACCAGTGTAGAAAATACATCCCTAAACTATGAGGTAATTTCAATGAATCCCTTCTCCTGAGTTTTGATCAGGAACTGAGGACTTGTTTTTCAGTATGCCTGTTAATACTGGAAAGGGGTTTGCTGACATGGATGTGTGTAATTTATGGCTTTGCAATCAAGCTTTACTCATGGCAAATATATACGTGGTTTTGTTTTATGCATAGGAAACAATGTTATGAGGACCATCCATGGTGTAGGAGAGATGATGACCCAAATGGTGCTGAGCAGAGGATCTATATTTCCCCTCAGTGCCCCTGATGCACAGCCAAGCATTCACCCAAGCAAGCAAACCAGCACCTCAGACAGTGAAGATGTGATCGTCATGGACACCAAATTGAAAATCATTGAGATTTTGCAGGTAATGATTGGTGAAATATTACACAGCAGTCATTTCACAGTTCTTTACTTCCTCCAGTTCTGTTACCAACATTCTTACTATTTACTGGTCTGTTCATTGCAAAAATAACACTTCGATGTGAGGAGAATCCTCCTCTGTGTGAGTAATTGTGCAGCTGTGGTCCTCACTCTGTTACACCTACTTCACTTTTGAAGGAACTAGATGCTGCAGAAGCTCTGTCAGCAGCTGTGGAAAGGCAGAACTTGTCCTTTTCGTCTGCCTCACCAATATTTTCTGAAGACAGTGTCTCTGTTGCCAGTCTCATTAAGACACATTTGACACTAGGGTAGTTTGCTTCACTTAGTATTTGACTCTTCTGTTGGAGTTGTTTGATGAAGGGCAGAATTGGACCTAGATCTGCTCAAGTTGTGCAAGGCCGTGCCACTTGGAAGTCCATTGCAGATTTCCACTGGGAGATTGAGAATAGTTTGTGGCTTGCTGTGGTTTTCTCCCAGCTGAACTGACAAGGTGCATGACACTAGCATGGCTCCAATTTTCACTGTGCTATTAGGAAGTGAAGTGGCACACATTTGTTCTGTATATGAAATTGCAGTTTCTGCAATATTTATGCCCTGAAGGAATGTTTCAGTGTTTTCTGGAAATTCTGTGGCTCTGTTGGTACCATTGTCACTTTTGAGGGATTGCATTTGTTCTGACTGCTTATAAAAAATTTAGATTACCTTAATTACTTGTCATCTGAAAGACTGTCAGATGTTGGAATATCCTCAATATTGCATACTTTGATTCCAGAACTCTTTTAGTATAAGGCTTATGGTGAAGAATAGAGTGTTAGGAAGTTAAATCACCAAAATAACACCACTCATCTGGATTGCTCCTCATTTTCATTTGTTTTTTTTGACTGACATTCTCTCCATACTCTCGCTGTACTGGTTGATGCCTAGGAGGATGATTTCAGGACACCAGCCTTGTCCTGCAATTCTCTGACTGCTTACACGCAGGAGAATCAAAGTTTGTCTCATCCTTTTGTTTTTCACAGCATGTCTAATGCAAGAGGCTGGTGTTGGTCTCTTCTCCCAAATTACTAAGATAGGAAGAGAGGAAATAGCCTTAAGTTGCATCAGGGGAGGTTTTGATTGGATATTAGGAAGAATTTCTTCATTGAGAGAGAGTTTAGACACTGGAACAGGCTGCCCAGGGAGGTGGTGGAGTCACCATCCCTGGAGGGGTTTAAAAAATGAGTGGGTGTGGCACTTGAGGTTATGGTCTAGTGGTTGGGGAGATGCTGGGATGAAGGTTGGACTTGATGATCCTGGAGGTCCTTTCCAACCATGGTGATTCTATGATTCCAAGAGCACCTGGGATTGGAGAGCATTTAATCCTGATTTGTTACTTAATCTGTGGTTTGTTAGTTATGGTTTAGTCACACAGTCAAATTGCTGCAGGTTGGCAAGTTGTCATGTGTTGGGTGAATCACAGTCAGTGTGCACAGGTAGATCCTTAGTTCATAAGCAATAGAAAATAAATCAGTCTTGCTTAATATGCAATGAAGGAGAATTAATTGAAATTACATTACCTTTCATTACTGTTATTACCCTAAAAGGTGAGTAAGAATATTTTAGATTTCTTTTATTATCATACTTAGCTAGTACAATGGTGATTAAAACTATTCTATTCTAAGAAATATTTCTGTTTATAATTATTTAATTCTCAATATGTCCTTTTATTCCTTTACGTAATTTGTCTGCTTAAGAGTTTCCAAAATGCCATCAGCCAGAGTTAAACAGAGCCAGTTAGACTTAGTTGATAATGTATGGAGTTGAGAAATTCTTATTTTAAAAAGTCTTGCTGTACAACTATAGGGTAATTTGATTATGAAAGCAAAATAAACCTGCCTTTTTCCTCTTTCATTTGAAGATTTTGAAGAAAATATATTGTTTCTTAAACTGGCATTTTATTAGGATAGTAAAAAAAAAAAAAATTAGGATTTTTGCTGTATGAGTTTCCAATTTCACAACTGGAGAACAAAAAGGCACCAAAACTAGAAGGAAGCAGAGCGTTAGGTTAGGGGGATCTCTGCTACCATTACAGGGGTAGCTTCCAAAGGAAAGCTTCATTTTTGCCACATGCTGGCAACACTACTAGCAGCTCAGGAAGGAAGTGCTGTTTGCTTCTCACATCCTAATAGCTGAGCATTAGCAATCTAATGAAAGACACCACCAGGCTTGTGCTTCACTCCATGGGAACCTGGAGTTACTGCAGGACCACTGCCCTTGGCTGTTGGGCATCTGAGAGGGTGAGCCTTCAGCCTCTTGTCTTTCCTCTCAGCCCCACTCCACTTCTTGTCTTTGTGGCACATGAGAAGTCCAGCTGAAATATGAAATAATTGGTTTCAACGTGGGTTTGAAAATTCTGATCTAGCTTACAAGCAATGAGGGCAGGGTGGCATGCTGGAGCCCCTGGAAAGCCAGTCTGCTGCTTAGTACTCAGCTGCTGATAGGGTGGAGTTCAGTATGTCTCAGAATGGTTGGAGTGAGGAAAGAAATCACAGAAAACTGATGAATGTAATGAATTCTTTTTTCACAGTGGACATATTTACTGAAAATAATTTACTTGCAATTCATTTAAAATAATCATTTATCCCTGTCCATTCCACCACAGAAAAATCCTAACCCATGTTACCAAATGGCAGAAGAAAAGGTTTAATTTTTTTTTTTCTTGTAGTTTATTCTCAGTGTTAGACTGGACTATAGAATATCCTACATGTTGTCTATCTATAAGAGAGAGTTTGGGGAAAACAATGAAAATGTTGATTGCTCTTCAGCATCCCCGCCTGGCACACCAGGGATTGCCTCAGGTAAATGTCACTATTGTATTACAATGTCAAATAATTTTGTGTATTGCAGACGATGAACTTGACTACACCAGAAAGATGCATGCCACTTAAAGCAGAAAAACTTGTGGAAAAATAAAACCTCTAAGGAATCCCATTAAAAAAATAAGTTTTTTTGCTGGCCTCGTTTAATAATAATGTGATTCTTTGTTCATGTGATGACAATTTGTTCTCTTATTTGTACTCTTCCCAAAATATTTGTGTGGACAATTTTTAAAACTAAAGCAAAATCATGGTGTGGTCGATAATCTGGTTTATGATAAACATTTCAAAGTTCATGTGTCTGCTTTGTGGGCGTTGGCTCATCTAACAAAAACCATAGGAGTTTCATATTCTGTATCATTTGTGGGCCACTGGTGGTGGTTTGTACAGCTCCTAGCACCACAGACCTCTGGGTCATCACTACAGCTTGGCTTTTCCTCATTAGCAGTAATACACAATTTAACTCAACCCCACATCCTGCTTCTTCCCTACTACTCCTACAGAAAGTGAATTTTGCCTACTTGAGGGATGTGTAATTAGGTCTTTACTTGATAACATCTACTTTAAAGAGAAACAGAGTTGCATTTGGCTGTGCCAATTAAACAATAATCACTGACTTTTTTTTGTTGTTTTATTTTGATTTGTTTTCCAGCAATTGTTCCTGACATAGATGAAATTGCAGCTCAGGCTGAAACCATGTTTGCTGGCAGGTATATTCTGTGAAATTGCCTCTGTGTAAATAATACCTCTAAATATGTTTGTTCACATTGATGTTTCTCATGGACAATCTCTGATTATTCCATGCTTATTTTCATACTCCCTTCTCTCCTTTTGACTGCCTCTTACTACATAACCCATACAGAAGGAGTGCCAGAAGAGACCTAGATTTCAAACAAGCAAAGAGTCCAGTTGGTATGGATGGCCATGGCATTGGACATGACCACCCTCTTAGTTGGAGGAGAGTTGGTAGAAAATGTTTGTCACATTCTCAAAGGCAACTGGGAAATGGTGTGCAGATATTTTGGGCTAAACCATGCTCATTTGTTTTTCTTATAATCCCTCACATGGGGACTTCTGAAGAAAGACCTTTTTCTGGTGTACCTTATGGCTGTAGTGCTAAATTTCATGGATCAGTGTGTTTCTGGTGACCCTCAATATTTCTCATAGACCACGTGACCTGTTGTCATTGCACCTTGTGTTTGAACTGATTTAGAAAGTTATGGCAAGAATAATCTTTTTTATATGACTCTTTAAATCAACTGTGGACCACTTGCCATGATCTCCTAGATTGGATGCAAGGGGGAACATCAAGTCACAACCGGTGTCCCTCAGGGCTCAGTTTTGGGACCAGTCTTGTTTAATATCTTTATCAGTGACCTGGATGCGGGGATCGAGTGCACCCTCAGTAAATTTGCAGCTGACACGAAATTAAGCAGGGTGTGGATCTGCTGGAGGGCAGGAGGGCTCTGCAGAGGGGTCTGGACATGCTGCAGCAATGGCCGAGGTCAGTCATGTGAGGTTCAACAAGGCCAAGTGCTGGGTCCTGCACCTGGGTCACAACAACCCCAGGCAACACTCCAGGCTTGGGGAGCAGTGGCTGGAAACTGCCTGGTGGGAAAGGACCTGGGGGTGTTGGTGCATAGGAACTGACTGTGAGCCAGCAGTGTGTCCAGGTGGCCAAGAAGGCCACCAAGAAGGTGGCCTGGATCAGAAATGGTGTGACCAGCAGGAGCAAGGAGGGGATCGTGCCCCTGGACTCAGCACTGGTGAGACCACACCTTGAGCACTGTGTCCAGTTTTGGGCACCACAGGATAAGAAGGACATGGAGGTGCTGGGGCGGGTCCAGAGAAGGGCAATGAGGCTGGTGGGGGGTCTGGAAAATATGACTTATGAAGACTAGCTGAGGGAACTGGGGTTGTTTAGTCTGGAGGAGACCTTATTGCTCTCTACATCTACCTAAAAGTAGGTTGTAGTGAAGCTGGTGTTGGTCTCTTCTCCCAAATTACTGAAGATAGGCCGAGGGGAAATGGCCTCAAGTTGCACCAGGGAAGGTTTTGATTAGATATTAGGAAGAATTTCTTCCCTGAGAGAGTGGTTAGACACTGGAACAGGCTGCCCAGGGAGGTGGTGGAGTCACCATACCTGGAGGGGTTCACAAGTGGATGTGGGCACTTGAGGTTATGATCTAGTGGTTAGGGAAATGTTAGGAGTAAGGTTGGACTTGGTAATCCTAGAGATCCTTTCCGACCATGGTGATTCTGTGATTCTGGACCACCAGAGGCCCGTAGATCACCAGTTAAGCTTGCAGAGTTTTAGAAGTGATTTCAGCTATGCTGTGATCAAAAACAACCATGGGAAAATATCCACACTGGAGAGTTATTACCATTATCACTCTACTAGTTTAATTTTACAAGCATAATTATAATTATGCCAGTAAAAATGAATTCCATTTAGACAAGGCCATAGACTTTAAAGTTTTTCTGGAGCTAGGGAGAAGGATTTGCAATATGGGCTCTCTGATCTTTCCTCTCTCAGTCCCTTATGTGTTCTCAGTCGTTACCAGAGCCAGCAATGCCTGCAGTCCTCTCCCTGAACCCTGTAATATAGAACAACACCCAGGTTTTGGCATCTCTAGCTTTAAAATGAACAGAGAGACTGGAAGGTTTCTTGGAAACATCATTTCTGCTTTGATATGTTAAGTGTAAAGCTGCTTTCTGCCATTCCAGATTATGAACAAGATTCCAGAAATATGCTTTTGGCAATTCTTACTAGTTTGGAGCTTATTTTTTTCTTAAATGAAATTTTAATAGCAACTGAAAAGGGAAGGAGTGAAAAGGAGAGGGCCAAATTAATCTCTTATGAAATAACATTTCCTTCAATTAATTTGGGACTGAGGAGGAGATTGGCACAACTTATCCAAGGCATAAAGCTTTTGCAATATGTTTTTTAATCACAATTTTTTTATACATTTCATACGTACTGTAATTCCATAGTGCCCATTCTGCCACAGGATTGCTGCAACAACATAGAACTGTGTGATTGAAATCCTTATAAAATATGGTAGATTGATATTTATGGTTTCCACCCTGCAGCATATTTGATTTGGTTTTAAGAGCTCTGTCAAATGAAGATGGTGTGTACAGGCACATTTACATCTAAAGCTTTTTTAATTATTACTTATTTTACTGTATTTATCCCTTTTTCCCCATTTCTGTTGCAGAAAGGAGAAGAATGCAGTTCAGCTCGATGACGAAGGGGGTAGAACATTCTTACGGGTCCTCATTCACCTCATCATGCACGACTACCCCCCTTTGCTCTCAGGTGCTCTGCACCTGCTATTCAAGCACTTCAGCCAGAGAGCAGAAGTTCTACAAGCCTTTAAACAGGTATGGATGGGCCTAGTGTGACTGCAGGAGACTTTGACTGTGGGGAAAGTTCTATCCAAAGGCTGCTTTGCTTTAAAGGTAAATTGCTGTTTGTTTGTAGCATGACAGTCCAAATTCAGAACGTCCAAATTCAGCAGAGATTTTTCTTTTTGTTAGCTGACCATATGTGCTAGCGTGTATTATAGTTGTGCACCCAGAAATAGCTATTCCTGGCATTGCATCTATTACTGAAAATGTAGGTCCACAGTGACAGCTGGGACACACTTCTCACAGTGAGATGTGAGGTAGTGGTCCCCCAGGGACAGAGCTAGAAGCTCTTGTTCTGCAGGCAGCGTACCAGTGTCAGCAATAAGACTTTCCTCTCTTCAGGGGTACTTGGGCTGGGTCGAAAGCTCTCTTTTTATTCACGTGGTGTTTCTAGTTCTGATTCAGGTGTCTTTGCATTGTGCTCACTGCATGATACAGATAAACCCGAACAGGAGGAAGAGACTAAGAGCACCAAGCCTGTTTTCTGCTTGATAACAGTGCATGTGCAGTCTCCATGTGTCAGTGGATTAGGACGGGGAGATCTGATGTCATGGGGCTGGGAGACAAGAGACACCTCTGTTATGTAACCCTATATAACATATGTTGATAAGACCCATCTGATGCTTATTTCAGGAGTTTGGTTACGTGTTGTCTCATCGTTATGTAAGATGTGGAGGTTTCTCTTGTTTAAAAACAGATGAGTGATAAAGACCCGGAAAGCTTCTGTTTTCTTGCAGTGTAGCATAATGGCCTCCCACCAGATTGTTACAGTTAAGCCATGCTGGTTGGTTGCATAAATAGCTGTTGTTCCCAGGTAAGCAAGGACTGAGTAGCTCAACATGTTTTCATAAAGGATAGAAAAGGTTAATGGACAAATAAACAAAGAAGACTGTAGAGAACGTGGAATATGGAAGTCTCTGCAGGTGAGCAGTATTCATAAATTCAGTAAAATAACAAAGTAGTGCCAAGCTAATGGAGAAGATGGTGAAAACTTGATATTATGAAATAGTGAATGTTTGACTCCATTTTTTAAAAGACTGTCCCTATCAGTGCTCTTGTCTGTCCCGTGACCTTAGTCTTTTACAGAAGTGTGATTCCTTAATAGCGCTTACTGATTTACACTAAATATTCTGGGGTTTTTTTGAATATTATCTTCATTAATAATCTTGATAAAGCAAAAAGCATTACAAAGAAAGAAAATGTGTAAAACATATTAAATTAAGAACTACAAATAACACTTGAAAAAACACCTGATAATTTGAGCAGTACAAAAAAAAAAGGAAAAGTGAGATTAATCTTAGTGAGAGGCAGCCACTCAGATGGTGGGGAATTACATGAACCCTAAAGTCAGTTTGTAAGCTGCATTCAAGCAAGTTTTTCTAAGCTGGCCTAACAGTGTTAAAATATGGTATTTTTGATTATGGTGATGTAGGTGATCAATAAAGTTGCCAGCCATTCTGACTTTTCTTTGGATATAGAGATTCCTTGTCATATTATCCTTGCTTTTCCTCCCTTTTTCCTGTGAAGTCCTGTGCTGATTGGATATGATATTTCTAACTGCATTGCTTTAATACCATGCAATTGTATTGTTTTAATACTATATAATATCAGTGCATTAGAGCTAACTTGGCATAGAACTCAAGAGCTTGTAAACCTCTGCTTGTTCTAAAACGTTTCACAGCGTATTGAAGAAGGCAAGAGGATGTTGTGAGTGTTAAACTGTCCTATTTTGGGCAACTAGAGTCTGGCTTTGTTAAAGATTGTTGCTGAATGGGGGCTAAAAAGCCTGTGTGTGGCACATTTCGATTTCATAGGGAAGGTTACATAAAGCACCTGGAAAGATGGGCTTAGAATGGGAGCTGTCAAGTGAATTACCCAGGTGCAAGTGCTGCTGGTGCTGCTGTAATAGCTTGACAATTGCCTGTATTTCCAGGTTCAGTTGCTGGTGTCAAATCAAGATGTTGATAACTACAAGCAAATCAAAGCTGATCTCGATCAACTGCGTCTGACTGTAGAAAAATCAGAACTGTGGGTTGAGAAGAGCAGCAATTATGAGAGTGGAGAGGGGGGTGACAATCAAACCAAAGGAGGAGAAGAACCAATAGAGGTGGGTTTAAAGCCTTTTGCTGTTAGAATTGTTTCAATATTGATAGGTAGTTCAGTGAACAACTGCAAATTTTTGGTCTGCTTAATCAAAGTAGCCAAGTGAGAAGGTGCAGTATTCTGGCTGAGCTGTACCAATAGACAGAATAGGAGATAAAACATCTTTTGTCAATGTACTCAATATTCCCTCCCACTGCTTTCGGTAACTGCATTTTTATGTCACAGAGCTGACTTCCTCTCTGGGTAGTGAGCAAGCAACAGTGTGTGGCCTCACTCTGTGGCCAAGGAAGTAATCTAGGGATCACATGGTGGCAGTTGTGTTGACTTGCTGAGAGAAAGGAGGATTAGACAGCATTTGTTCTTGCAACTAGGGGAGAGGAGCACAATCAAACCCGTATTTTCAAACGTCAGGACTGATTCCACTCTCCACCAAATGTAACACTGACCTATGGATATTGAGATTTTGTAGGGGAATTAATGTGGAATTTTTTTTGACCCTTGCAGTGCCACACTCTTGCAATATATTGTGATTTGAGAAACTTTAGAACTCGAATCTGGAACCACAAAGACCTGTTTTTTTTAAAAATTATTTTTTCTATTTTTTTAAATTGCTTTTCAGTGGAAGCTGAGGTCTTCATTTGTTATTACCTAACTCCAATAAGAAAATGCAACATGTTGCAAGAGGTGCTGTGGTTGAAGTTTGTGTCATAGCAGTAGATAGAGCAGGCTTTCCCACCAATATTTATTCCCAATTTTTCATTTTCATCAGATGAAGTGGGAAGAGTTGAATAACTGGGGCTTCTGACACATCATTTGCCTTACTCTCCTCTGTGGTAGTCTTCCCTGGAGGCAAGAAAATGGGCAAGCAGCCACAGGGGCAAGCTTAGTAGGAAGTCAAGTGGAGATCATACAGCATTATGAAGCTGATGCATTGAGGAAAAGCAGAAGCCCTTGAGAAGAGACAGAACATTTGCAGATAGCTATGGCCTTGGATATCTCGGCCTTTCAGATGGGAAAGCAGATTTTAGGTGGCTTCATACAGGGTGAAAATCCAAATTTCTTGGGCAGGTGTAGATCCTACTCCTTCTCTGATACAACTTGGTTGAATTTAGGTGTGTCAGAACTGGGGAGGAATCCAGACTTTATGAGCTTAAGTATGTGGGCTTTCCTAATTTGTTTCCTCAAGCATAGCTCTAGTAGGAAAGAAAACATTCCTCTGTGTTTTTAATGAATGGAAAAGGTAATGGTGAAACAGAATTGCAACAAGATATTTACAAGGTTTTTAAGCTATAATATATTTTAAAAGTGTAATAAGACCCTTTTTATTCCTATGGGTAGCCCTGATAGCAAAGAAACTCCAGGAAGAAGGGACAAAACAATGTGCTTGGAACAGAAGAATCTCAGAATGGGATATTTTCAGTGTTTCTTTTTCCATGAGGCATTGATGGGTCTGCATGGATTAGCAGGGCTTCAGTAGATGCACAGTATTACCTCTGGCAGATCTGAGAGGGTATTGTATCAGAACAGTAATGTGTAATCTGCACAACTGGTTAGATCAACTGGTGCTTATTCCATGAGAGTTGTGCCAGGTTACAATAGCCTAGAATCTTGTCCATTACTTTGTCCCCTGTTAAATTATTCTTTAACAGTGAGGAACCATTTTTACCTGGCAAAACTGCTTTAGATAGTGAATACTTCCTTTAAATTTCAAGTCAGATGTAAGAGGTGAGGTGCTGGTTATGACCTACAATATAAAAGATATAGTTTATATATATAAAATATATAATACCCCTATGAAGGAGGTGGCTAACTTCAAGGAGATAAACATCCCTGTGTGAGCTACACTTTCTTGGAACTGGGTGCTCAGTGTTCAGTACTGAGCTGGATCAACCTCTGAGTCTTTAGGGAAAGTGCTTCATTTGCCTGGGTTTAACTTTTCCCAAACAACATTCAAGTGCATACAAGGGCTTAAATTACATTTCAAAACAGTCTTATGTTGAGCCCAAGTTTCTGCTCTCACTGAAGCACATTGCACGACTGGCATAAAAGTTTTAAAAACGGAAACATATTTTTTGCCCTTAGGCTTTGGAGTCTTTTGGGGCAATTGTTTTCACGTTTCTGTCATAACCTGCAGAGACTAGGGGCTTACTTTTTTTTTTTAAGTCATATGATTGAAGTGGGATTTGTAGAAAAAAGGCCATGTTCTTCTACATAAAGTATCCAAAATTCTTCACAGGAAAACCAACAAATCTTGTATCCATGCAGAATCATCTGGATAGGAACTGGAGATCAGAATTATAGGAAAGTGTGCTTGGAGTTCATTCAGACATAAATGAGCATCATACAGAATTAGGAAGAAATGCTGAAACTGATGAAACAAAACTGAGCCTTGCCTGAGAAAGGAAAGGCAGATAAAGCCTGTTGACTTTACTGGTTATCTCTAGTAAGGGTGTCATGGGTGTGTATAGATACCGTGGACGATGGAAAATGTGGTCTTTATTCTCCTGTCACTGGAGGATCCATTAGTGGTGCGGCACCAGAAAGATGGATCTGAGAGAGAGAGAGTCTCAGTGGAAGGAGTCTCGGATGAAGCTGGAATACAGTGCAGTGTCATTTACAGAGCTTCTTATCTTTGCCATCCTCTGAGAAAGTTCAGCGAGGTTTTGAGTGGTATAAACCTCCTTCACCCGTAAACAGCTGCTGTTCCCTTGCTCTCTTCCTTTTCTAGTCTGTTGGAATTTGCTTTGGTTCTGGAAACGTTTAAACAAACATCTGCTGAAACATCAGCTATAGGTTGAGATTGTGAACTGAAACTTCTGAGAGTGCCACTCATTTCCCTGGTAAGCAAATCAGCCTGTGGAGGGCAAAACTCTGCCAGGGTGACAGTGGCTCATCCTGCTGTCCTCAGCTGTCCTGCTGAGGTCTGTGAGACTACTTCAGCAGCCAGGAGCTGCTCAGACTGGAGGCTGAAGCCCCATTTTGGGGCTGGAACAAAAGGATCCTAAGACTGATGCAGAGTGATACCCCGGGAATTTTATGCATAGGTTTTTTTTTCAGAAAACACCACTTCCTAAAGGTGGGGTACTCAGATGAGAACCTTTCTGTGTGTGATCTCCACAACTCCCTGCCCCCTGTGGAAAAGTGTGACAGAGAATGTCTTATCATGGGGAGAAATGAGGCAAGATATGCAGCTGAGTGTCTCTGGTACCCCAGTGGTACGATTATCTCTTGATAACTACATCCCTGGCATACTCTTATGGGTTCAATAAACAAGTTTTTATTTTGTTAAGAGAAAGGATAGATTCAGCAGTTTAATGCTGATCAGCACTTTCAGGTAAGACATATAGTTCACATGGATTATAAAACTGCTTTGATTGAGGAAGAATGCTGAGAAAAGTAACAGGTAAATTAATCTTGGTTTACCCACAGTCCCAGAGCAGAGTAGGGTAGTTAATTATAGCAAAGAGCCAGAAATATCTTCCAAAGTATTGATTCAAACAGCTAGAGAGAAGGCAGCATGCATACTAACAAACCTACACAAATACAAAGCCCCTGTTGTTGCATAGATCAACATGTCCATGCTGGGCAGAGGTGCTGACACTGTCCCAAACAGCTTCCATGGCCAAGTGGGGCAGCTGTTCTTGCCCCACTGGAAACTAAGACCAGATGGGATTTATAGAACTCCACATCTTGCACCATCAGCTAAGAAAGTTCAGAGAGAGGTTTGGAGAGGTGTAAACATTCAGTTTGGCGTGTCTGTGTGTGTTTTAGCATAATTCTCTTCTCTAAAACAGAAGTTAGTTTGAGGAAACAATGAAACCCAGGAATGCACCTGTTTGCTTCTTTTTTATACTATTTAACTGGTTTACATACTTGTGGTTGTAGTGTGAGGCAGTCTCGAGCTCCACTACAGTTTTTCTACGTGTTTAAATACTTTCAGTGTCCAAAGTCCAGTCTTTCAAATCTTTGTCTTTGCAGTTAAGAAAGGCTTGCCGTAGCTGGCAGCAGAGAAACCCCACCACTGCCAGCATTCTAACTGGCAGTATTTTTGCAGATGTTCTTCTGTGTTTTGATTGAGATATGCATGGAAAGGTGCGTGGGTGTTGGCAATCACTTGCTGACTTGATCTCTCTTATTTATCCAGCCCAGCTGGGGCTTCCTAAAAGCCAAGGCCTAGAACATACAGCATCATGAGTGGTTATTGTAGTTTAACATAAGGCTCTCGTTTGTTTTTAAATCCTCTCCTGCATCATCCAGAGATAAGGACAGAAGTGTCCTCTTCATGGGAGGAACATCTCTAATTTCCACATGCTACTTGTTCCTGTACAGCTGAGAACTCCATCCTACTTACCTCAACTACAGAGATCATCTTAAGCTCTTTCTCCAGGCTTCTTAATGTTCACATACACAGACTTTGTGATCTTTCCAGCTGTATTAGAGATTTTTGGAATAAGTGGTGGCTATTGAAATACACTTATTGTCCCTGTTCCCATAGTGTCTAAATTCCTTGGGATATCTAGTCTGTGATTTAGGGAAGTATTCTTTTTTAGGAGGATCAGAAGCATGAAGACATGGAGTGATTGCCTCAAATCATGCTGGAAATTTCAAACAAAGGAAGAACTTGAATGTGAATCTTTTCACTCGCTGGATAAAGAATAAACGAGTCATTTTCTTTACTCTCTCTGTTATCTCTGTTCCCTGTGAGCTGCTGTAATAGTTCTTCACTTGCTTTTATTAAACATAATTAGTTCACATTGAGGAAATTTCAATAGATCTCCACTTGTTGTTGTTCTTTGTTACAGGAGTCAAATATTTTGAGTCCAATACAGGATGGGACCAAAAAACCCCAGATAGACAGCAATAAAAGCAATAACTACAATATCGTTAAAGAGGTCAGTATATCAAAAAACTTTCCTTGACATGCTTATTTGATAAGTAAATTCAGCAATTCTTTTGAAAGAATGTATTTTTGTTTGGTTTTGCATGACGTGACTGGTTCTTGGCCTGCATGCTGATTTGTTTGTTTGTTTATTTATAGATTTTGATTCGACTCAGCAAACTCTGTGTTCAGAATAAGAAGTGTCGGAATCAACAGCAGCGATTGCTGAAAAACATGGGTGCCCACTTGGTAGTCTTGGACCTCCTGCAGATACCCTATGAAAAGGTTATTCTTGTAATTGTATTGGTAAAGAAAATGAACTCAGTGAAGGGGAAGGCATCAAGAGGTCCAAGAATCGATATGAATTCTTTTTTTTTTACGCTATTCTATCAACTATGGTACAAACTTGGAATGATGATGCCATTTTCTACCTTACAGCTGATGGATTTGGGCCTGTGTTTATATGTGGCTGCCTGCATAGAACAGACTTTATTAAAAATTTAAATGTTTACTGCCTCAGGTACCTGGATGTCACTGTGGTATTATCCCATTCCTGAGATAGGCAAACCTTAGATCTGCAGTCACTGCAGAGCAAGAAGTCTTGATTTAATAGAGCTCCTAGCAGGGTATCTGAATTTCACTCGTGTGAGTGCTATCATAGATACATAAGATGGACATAAAGCTTTCAAGGATCAAGTCTGAAATAATTTCTTTGTTTCTGTGGTGGAAGCCTCCAACCTAGTTACATTTGCAAGTTTTTCAGAGCATAACATGATTTTGTAATGATTTAGTGGCAATGGACGTGCAAGTGAATGATCTAGATGGCCTTTAAAGAGCACATCTTTCTAGATCTTCCAGGAAGCATTAAGAAGAGATAAAAACTCTTCTGGGCTATGTTTTCTTGAGTGTTATACTCTAATGTTGTAATGTAGACACTGGGTTCAGCTATCTGCACTAAAATAATGCTTCTCTCTATAGGTGGTTCATCAAATCACAGAATACTGTATGAGAGGAATATAAAATGGGGATGAAACTAGACATACATTTGTGGGGGAGTACGTGTAAGAACATACATATTTGTGTAGGAGGACACACACAGGCACACATACATCAGATTGTGTGTAATTATATAAAAGCCAAAGTATTTCAAAGGCTTAAAATCAATGCAGGCTGAAGAGTGGGGTTTTTTTTTTGAAAATCAAGCCACTTAGGACTTTTTTGAACTAGGAAATTATAACTGTGCAAAAGGAAATATTACTTTGAGTTTGTTCTCTGACCTGAGACTCCCTATGGCCAGGCCAGTTCAGAGTAAGATACAGCCAAAGTAAGTTTAGGTACACCCAGCTCATTTTGTTTGTCTTTCTGCAGAGCGATGAGAAGATGAATGAAGTTATGAATCTAGCCCACACTTTCCTTCAGAATTTCTGTCGAGGAAATCCTCAGAATCAAGTTCTCCTCCACAAAAATCTCAACTTGTTCTTAACTCCAGGGGTAAGTATTTCATTTTAAGGAGGATATTACAACTCAAAGTAAATCTGGGCTTGTTGAAAAGTGACAGGGCTAAATAAAGAGTTTCATTAAATTGTGCCCTCTGCCTTCTCTTCTCTTTTCTGTCCTTGTCTTTTCTCCCTTATTGTCTTCTTTTTTCTCTTCTGTCTTTCTTCTTTATCATTTGCTTTTCATGTCATTGTTTTTAATGTTGCCATTTTAAAATCTTACCTGTGGAGTTTACAGGAAGCATCTATGAACATGTATCATATCATGACATCACGTTGAGCTTGACTCTGACTTTATGCATCACTAACACACAGACTATAAGTAAAGGTAGAAGATGCTGTGACTATGCTGTCAGGAAACTTGTGTGACAGTAGAATCTGATGATACTTCTTACTGATGATGTTGATTCAATTAATCTAAAATTTGATCTTTTATTAAGTCATTGTCTTTACAATAAACCTCTGTCGCTATCTCTTTGTATATATCTGTGCTTATAGATCTATTTACATAGAATGACACCTTGCTCAGTGGTAGATCTACTGAGCAAAACATGCTTTTATTAGGAGGAGTGTGAATAGTAGGATTGTAGACCCCTAGGCTGTGTACTTTAGGAAGCATTACTTGTGTTATTTATGCTCTTTTTGTCAAGTTAAAGGTGCTGAGCTGACCAGAGTGGCTAGTGCCCAGACTCCATCCTATCCAACAATGACACTTAAGTGCCAAGTATGGAGCCTGCTTGCACTTTCATTTCTGTTCTTTTGAAGTTCATCTTCTTATCATCTTATTGTGCTGTTGATCACACTGTGGAACAAACTTGGTGTGAATTCCAGATGACATGAAACAGAAGGGTATACTCCAGGAGCACACCTGACCCTCATGAGCCTTTAGTCCAGGGGATCAAAATAGAGCAAGTCTGAAGCAAAAGAACCAAGAATGCATGAAGTCTGGATGCTGGGTCCTCAGCAGCATCCCTTTCTTGCTGCAGGTCTCTTCCTCTTTTACTGTGCTACTCACTGAGAGAAACATAACCTTAGGTTCCCTCTGTAGTTAATGTGGAAGGAGATGTTCTCTGGGAGAGTGTTTAGACTGCATGTGCAGTCATTTGCTTGCTGGAAATGTCTGCCTCTGTCAGCCATAGAATGAGCCAGAGGTAGATAATCATCTTACTTGGTCGCCTCAATGCAAAGTCTGATGATGAGTCGGACGAATGTGGTCTCAGTTGTCTTGTATACAACAGCCCCTACAGAGTGCTGGAGCAGCATGGTGTGTGTATAAGTGCCCGTTATGTGGTCACAGATTCTGTTTGTGTCCACTTTAGGACAATTTTGTGCTCACAGGAAAGTGTTGAGGAACCCCACCATAAATGAAAGCTGGTCTCCAAGTTCACTGCTTAATCACTGGGCTGGCACACATCAGACCTTTCCAGCTTCCCTTTTACCAGCGTGCTTCTCTCTGGGCCAGAGTCCCGTCAATCTTTGAATCTCAAAACAAATCTGCTCTTACAAGGCTGCTTTGATTCTGTTTAGCTCCTGGAAGCTGAAACCATGCGGCACATCTTCATGAACAATTACCTGCTGTGCAATGAGATCAGTGAGAGGGTGGTGCAGCACTTCGTGCACTGCATCGAGACCCACGGCCGGCACGTGGAGTACCTGCGCTTCCTGCAGACCATCGTCAAGGCTGACGGCAAGTACGTCAAGAAGTGCCAGGACATGGTGATGACAGAGGTGAGTGAAGGGTTAATCACTGTGTTCATCACCCATCTGAGGTTGCCTTTTCTGCTGTTGATAGCAATGGGCTATCATGGCATCTTCGCTTTAGGATTTTAAACGGCATCGCAAATAATGAATATTTTAGCAGACGTTTTGGGGAGTTTAATCTAATTTTGTAAGGCCATCTGTATAACTACCAGGAAGAAAACGTGTGTTAGCATGGTGATGGAGAGATGTCTATTTCTGGATGATGCAGCATGGAAATATCAGTTACATAAACCTTCTTTTTCCTGTGCTGTAATATAGGATCCCATTTACGCACCAGACTTTCATGCTCTGGCACAGTTTTGCCATACAAGAGGCTCTTCCCTCTCTGGATCTGTCTAAATAGTGTTGTAGACCATTTTTAAAGCATGTAACCATGTAAAAATTCTAGTTACTACTTTCTGCTCTTGTTTCTTCTGTTCCAGAGCATTTTTGTGAGAATCAGTAGAGCTACTCTAGTTTTGACTAGCTAAGAGTCTCACCCAGTAAATTCCACAGAGTGGCTTGTGGATGAATCTATGTCAATAAAGTCACTAGGAAAATACCTAATTGACTTCTCTGCAATTAAGTTTTGATATATAGTGTGCATGATAAATGAATCTGAGTGATTTGTCAAGTCTTCAACTTGCAGACACTGGTGTGTTTTACTATAATTATGTTAGTTCAATGAGATTAATAAGTGGGAGATTAATAAATTGAGTATAGAGAAAAGCCCAGGTAGGATCAGAGTCCAAGGAACATTCTTCTTTATTTTACAAAGTGATTTTTTTTTATGTTTTAGAGACATCTTCACAAAGAAAACAGAGGTAAGCTTTAGTTGTGGACCAAAATTTCAGCAGGTTTTAGTTTTGTTCGTACCACAGCAACGAAGAAGAAAAACTTCTAATTAAGGAAATAAAGCTTCAGCCTACATGGATAACCTTTAATGGAATCCACCTCAACCTTTTCAATTTGACTGAAGTATTTTAACATGCAACATCAATTACAAGCCTTTGATTTACATACTTCAAACTGTTCTTGTTCTTTTCTGTATTTTGAGTTTTTCTTCTTCTGTCACAGCTTCCTGTAGGTTTTTACTTCTTCATCAAACAAAATTTTTAGATTTTTCCTCCATTTAAATAGATTTTGTTACTGGCCTTTAATAGCACAAAGGTAAATTGTCATATTACGTTTTCAAGCTGACTGCATGGTGAAAATCAAAATGAACTCAGATGTGACATTTACATCATGAGTCCTGCAGGAATCTGCTGGGGGGAGGGAGCACCCCTATTTTGATGAAAGAGGGTAAGATGATGATCTGTTTCAAAAACATGTAGGAAGTTACAGGTGAGTGATTAAAATTTGTTAGAAAAGGTTGCTAATAGTGAAATTGGAATGGCATTTGAATGGCAATCCAATGTAAAGGGACAGTGTAGCCAAATGGTTGGAACTTGCCTTAGAGTCAGGACAGTTTCTCAGTAGATTGAGATGTCCTTTGTGACCATAAACAAGTGGTGTAACTTCTCCTGTGCCTCCAGATGGGGCATGTAAGCAATTTACCACAAGACAAGCTGGAGTAGGAGTGTGCAGCATGTCTCAACTACTCCTGTGTTTTCTTTTACCCACAGGAAGTATATTGTAGCTCATTCCTGTTTACTGGGAGTAAGGGATAAACTGATCATATTTACATGTTTTGGAAAGAGCAGACAGATGAAGGAGCAGCATTGCCAAAGTACTTCCAGAAAGTGTGTTGAGCATTCCCAGTCTGGTTTATTCACTAGTTTTCCTATCCTTGGTCCCCATGTCTGTAGAGTGCTAGTAATAATGTTTACTGACCTCAGAGGTTCCTTAGGGCACTTTTTCTCATTAGAAACATGCCTGGAGGTTCCTGGAAGAGCAGTACCTGTCAGTGCAATCTACTACAAAAGGGAAGGCAGAATTTACTTTTAAACTAGATCAATGTGGTAACAGAATTTTCTATTATCTATAGTATTCTGGAGTGATACATTGCAGAGCATCAGCAACTGCTCCAGTACTGACCAACCTTCATTATACTTCCACAGAGTTTTACTTTATGAGTTTATATTTAGTGGAAGACAATGCTGCTGGATTTTTTTGCTGGTTTGGTTTTGTTTTGTTTTCCCATCACTAAGCCCATGATGCTCAGTGAGAACTTTGGTTAGCACTGGATCCTTCTTTTCCATTTCTATTTCTAAAGGGACATAATTATTTGGATGGACTTTGCAAACCACATTTAAAAGTGGATAACATGGGGAAAGAGGATGACCTCCTCTTCTGTCCTTGCATGTACAGCCTTTTCGTTGTCTCCCTTCTTCTGCTGGTGCAACATGGTCTGCTTCTGTTTGAGGTTCCTCACAGTATGTAGGAAGCATACCATGCAGCATCATGTTTTACAAGTTCACTATCTCCTGGTATTTCTTCCTTATTCATCAGCAATATGTGCATGAAAGGGTTAGGGCTCTGTTTGACTTGATATGATAAAATATCAGGTAATACTGGTACAGATTAGGTCTCAGTTTTAATGTAAGAGTGTAACTCTGAAGGAACCTGGAAAGAGTCATCTTCCTTCTCCTCTGTGCTGAGTGTACACAAGGGGGAAGTAACTATGGGAACGTGGTGAACAACTTCATAGAAAAGGACAGAGTATGTACCTTCCCAGAGGGCTTGGTGTGGATATAGTTTATCATTTTATATGTGAAATGTCCTAGCAGTATAGTATTCCAGACGTTAGTATTAAAAAGTTAGGTCAATTTTCCAACATTTTGGATATTCATGTTTCTCCCTCCCCTTTGTTCTTTTTTTTGCCATCGAATGCAATTAAATGGATGGCATCTGTGTCCCTGTCCTGTCTCCTTCCCCCTTCTCAAGTTCTCAAGCACATGTCCATTTAAAAACTTTGTTTCTGTATGGTGGGTTGTCCAGAAAAATGTCTATTTTGAAAAGTCACGACTAGAAACATTTTAGAAACCCAAAGATAAATGAGAAATGTTAATTCAGTCTTTCTTGCAATTCCTAATTCACTCCATCCAATTGTCAAAGTAAAAATAAGCAAGAAACAGGAGCTTCTTTTCACCTGCACTGAGAGTGCATTATGCTTAGGAGGAAAGGGATGGAGAGAAGACAGTACTACTGTCCTGTCCCAGCTCCACTTGAGCTTGCAGACAGCACCGGCAGTATGTGTGTTCACTGGATGGGGGGTTCAAAAGAGGGTTAGAGCAAAACTTTTCTGTGAGATCTGCTGAGCTGGGGCTGCCAGCATCCGCCTCCACTCTGGATCCTCTTGAGATGAGCAGTGCACTTGTAGCAAAATCAAATATTTATCCCATACACTAGTTTTCTGTTAAATGGAAGTGCTGGCATGGCACTGACAATGTCAAGACCCACCTGCCAAATTTGCACAGGTTAGGAAGCTGTCCTTTGTTTCCAGAGCTGAGCAAGGGCACAGAAGAGGTTTGTTAAATTCTGGGTGAGCCACAGGCTTTTTTGTGTGTCAGCACCAGCGATTTAATCTCTCTACATCTCAAATCCCCACCTATAAAAGAAGGATAATAATGCCTCTTTTAAACCTTTAAGGTCATCGAGACCAAAACGACTTGCAGTGCAGGGTGCTTAAAACTGTGTGATATCTTTTCCAGCTGATAAACGGTGGTGAAGATGTGTTGATCTTCTACAACGACAGGGCATCCTTCCCAGTCCTGCTGCAGATGATGTGTTCAGAGCGAGACCGAGCAGACGACAGTGGGCCCTTGGCCTATCACATCACTCTGGTGGAACTGCTGGCAGCTTGCACAGAAGGAAAGAATGTGTACACAGAGATCAAGTGCAACTCACTCCTGCCACTGGATGACATCGTGAGAGTAGTGACCCATGATGACTGCATACCTGAGGTAAGACTGACTGAATGAGGAAGCAGAGTTACCAGTTTTAGAAACTCAGAAGATGTTTTGTTGTTTATGATATACTGACAAGTTGAATGTTTGCACAGAAACCAGGCTGGAAACAGATGGTGTTGAAGATGAATAAGTGATAAAGGATAGCTAGTGTTTTCTTAAACAAGATTTCATGTCCCTTATGCTTTTGATTGTCAACTTTTTGGGGCAGACGCCTGGTTTTCCTTTCCTGTGTTTGTCCAGCCACTAGTTTAATGCTTTGATAACTTCTAGTTGTAGCTGCCTAGATGCAGCTGAGTGATTTGTCAAGCCAACATTTTGCCACTTCTTCAATTTGTTGGAAAGGATGGGTAACATCCTGACCATGCTGAAGACAGTGGGAGTTTTGGGTAAAGTCTCGTTTTACTAAATTCAACTGGAGTCAAATAAATGTTGTCATTCACTGCATATCAAGGCCCAATTCTGCATCTACTACTGGTCATGCTTCAGTAAGACTGTGATACCTCACATGGACCAGAAGAAGCACCAAACCTGATGTGATTAAAAGAAATCTTTTCATAGTTTTTGCAAGGAGCTTGCTCAGGTCCTATCTACCTGCAGGCTATCTGGTGGAAAAATATGGCTCCTATTAACAGAACTGGGATCTGCAGGAGTAAAGACTCCCTCTGTGCTGTGAAGAAGTCCCCTTCTGATCAACTGATCTTAAAAAGAAAAATGTTTACTCAAGAGTGCCTCCTAACATTAATTTCAACAGATGCTAATTTTAAAAAGCCCAAACAAATTAAACCTAAAAGTCTGACACAAGTTTTCTCCTGACTGCATTAAACGCATGCAATTATCTTCTCTCCTTTGGCTGTGACAAGAAGTTTTCAGTGTATCTGTGTACATTTCTGTTTAAGCTCTACATTTCAGGCACTGGCTGTGCATTTTTATGATGTGCACACACAGACTCGTAGTGCAGGAGAGGAGTGAGAGCACAGTCCTCCTGTTAAGCCTTGTGCTGCTGTTGCTGCAGTCCCTGTGCTGCACAACCATTTAGGTCTGAGTTACACTCATCCCCAATGCAGGCCCTCCTTTAGGATGGTGGGAGTACAGGTACTACAGTCCTAGCTCTGTGAAAGAATTTTTTAAAAAAATATTTGGCAAACCTATCGTAGAATCACTTTAGTTGGAAAAGACTTTTAAGATCATTGAGTCCAACCATTAACCCTACTCTAACAAGTCCTCCTCTAAGCCATATACCCAAGCACCACATCTACACAGCTTTTAAACATATCCAGGGATGGTGATTCAACCACACCCCCCTGGGCAGCCTGTTCCAATGCCTGACAACCCTTTCAGTGAAAAAGTTCTTCCTAATGTCCAGCCTAAACCTTCCCTGGAGCAGCTTAAGGCCATTCCCTCTTTCTATCACTAGTTATTTGTGATATTTGTCCTGAAAGTATCCTTTCAGGACGTTACAGAGAGCAAGAAGGTCTCCCCTCAGCCTCCTCTTCTCCAGGCTAAACAACCCCAGTTCCCTCAGCCACCCCTCGCCTGACTTGTTCTCTAGGCCCTTCACCAACTTAGTTGCTCTTTTTGGACTCGCTCCAGCACCTCAATGTCCTTCTTGTATTGAGGTGCCCCTGTCACAAGGCATCAACCCAGAGCAGCTGAACTAGCAAGTGCAGGGTTGTCCTGCATCTTGACAGCTGCTGGCTTTGGAGCGATGCCTTTGTTAGTCTTATTATCATTTAAATATTATATTTATTAGTGGTTTGTTTTGTGGGAGTTTTGCCACGAGAATCAGAATGTTGGAAAAAACTTTCCATTTTTCTTCATGTGATCTTTCAGTAAGTACATTAATGTATTTCTTGCCATGCTTCTTAAATGTTCAGAACTGAACACATGCATTATTTATTAGTGTTCTTTGGTACTTGAAGGATTATCTTTATTGTTCAATATTTTTGCAGATAGAAAAATGTCATGTTCATGGTTTTTACTGGTTCCATTCCATACTGTTTGTGTTTTTGCTGCTCCTGCAGGTGAAGATTGCCTATGTGAATTTTGTTAACCACTGTTACGTGGACACTGAGGTGGAAATGAAAGAAATCTATGCCAGTAACCATATTTGGAAGTTATTTGAAAACTTCCTTGTTGATATGGCAAGGGTAAGTTTCCTGAGATATTAAATATTGCAGTATGGTCGTGGATGGCAACTGAACTGGCAACAACTTTTTTTTAGTGACCTTCTTTTATGTTACTGTTTCTCATTTGGTTGCTTTTGTTTTTTAACAGTCATTTCTAGGTTCTTTATCATCATTTAACCTGCTAATTACTAGCAGTCTGCTCTTTCTAAAAGTGCATCATGGAACCCATGCTCCTTTCTCTTGCAGAAAAATAAATTGGGTGGATGTATGGGGTTGAGAGACTGTGCACATCTTCTGGAGTATATGTTACACATCATTATGGTAGTGATGAGGAAAAAACCTCACATCTGCAATCTTCTTGCTTTACTCTGTTATTACAGTGTGGATCAGGGATGAAGGGATCCTTTGGCTTGTGTTGCTTCTTGACTCTCACTTTGGCTTGTTTTTGTCTTATACTCTACTGTCACTGATTAAGTTTCAAAGTCAGAAGTTGAATTAAGCTTCCTTTCCTTGATATTTTGGAGGCAGAAACCAAAGGAAATCTTATAACTTGTAGAAGGATAAAATGCAATAGTAGAGCCATGAGGGGAAGCCAGCATGACATAATGGTAACTTTTCCTGGTAACAGGTTAAGGCAGGGATGTTTGTGCTCTGTTTTTTTGGCAATAGCCATTTTCAGCAGTGATGAGACCTCTACAAACCCTGTTTTCCTGCTTTTTGTCTTGTCTCCGTTCTACAGTGAGAGCCTTTCTGAACAGACCAAGCTCATCTGAAAATTCAGATCAGAAACCTCCTTGGAGGGGGATTCTGATTTTTGACCTTGTTGGTTTTACCCTGAAAAGTATTTTCTTCTGTTCAATTCCCTTTCTGGGTTGCCCTTTCCTGATGTGTCCTGACCCTCCAAATGGACTGCCCTCTCTAGACCTTGAACGTGACCAGTTTTCTTTGCCCTTGGGCTAGAAGCAGAGGTGTATAAAGAGGGCTTTGCCCACCTTTCATGAGCCTGGTGACAAACTGTGCTGTGCCAAACGATGCAGAGTTGTCCTGATGCTAGTGACCACTGAGCTTTGTCTCACATACCCTTCTCATAAGAGAAATGAGACTTCAGGCCTTCAGGTGTGAAGAGTGAGTGTGTTATTAATGCTATATTTTGTGTGCCTGTGTTGTTGGCACCAAATGGCAAAATACAGGTTTATTTTACTCTCCTGTAAGCCCTCAGGGCAGATGCCTTTTAATTTCCTGGTTAACAGCTAAAAGAACTGAAACAACATGTCATAAGTGCTCAGGCCTGTCCTGTTCTTCAGCCAGCTCCCTGTGGGTAGTCATTTCTTCCAGGTTATTGGGTGTATTTGTTCAGGTTTGGTTTTCTGGGGCCTAGACAGAGCCCATGTGTTATAAGTACATCAGTGTTGTGTAGCTATCAGGACAGTTAGAATGCTGTCAGCCTCATGAAAGATGTTACAATAGCTTTCAAAGCATTTAGAAAAAGAGCCCTTTGATCCTCTGTGTTCCAGTGAGCTTAAAGGGATGATTTTGCATGGGGGAAGGGGAAATGCTTTTCTTTTAGCAGCTACAAATGCCTGTCAGTGGGTGAGTTTGTGAGTCTGAGCGTTATTAGAGAGCTATAAGGTGAAAGAGGGAAAGTGTTATCTTCAAGTTGGAATCCTTTCTTTTTTATTAAAAAAAAAAAGTCCTTGTTTTTCTTATGTTTGGGGAATTGAGGAAGGAAATATTTAGTCCCCAGCTGTCATTCTATTTCAACACGCTGCATTGCAAAGCTGGCATGAGGCAGATTCATGTATAAATTCAGTTTGCCAAAAGCAGTTGTGCTGTCAGAGACACCCCCTTCCTGCAGTTTCTGCCAACCTACTTTCTCCTGTGCTTGACTTCAAGCGTTGGGTGCTGCTGAAGGAGAGGCTTCCCTTTCCTGTGGGTGGCCTAGCCTGTAAGCCAGCAGCTGGATTCTGAGCAGGATTAAAGAAAGAGCCAGGATCTGACAGCTGGAAAAAGTCATCCTGGCTTTCTCTCCAGAATTTCACAAGTGTTATTCATGTGAGTTGCAGTCCCAAAGCCTCTTAAGGGGTTTTTAAACACTGCTTTCTCAATCCTCATCTCCATTTCATGCATTTCACGTTTTTTCTTCCACGGGGAAACATCTTTCAGTCCCCAAAGGGCAGAGGGATAAGAACAAATGAGAGGATTTCCAAATTCCTTCTGTGCTGGGGATTTCTCAGACCGGTATTAGAGCAGAGTGGCATCCCCACATATGGCTGCACTTTTTTAGTCAAGCAAAGGGGAAAGCTTAAAAGTGTTTTGGAATGTAGTTTTGGTGATTTCTGGGTTCACCATCCCAGCACTGCACAGCTCCCTGTCTTGCCATCGGGGTTGCAAGTGCTGAGCCTCAGAGCTGCTGGTTCCAGCCCAAACTGGCATGCAAATTAATTAAAAGCAGAACTTCAAGAAGGTTTTGAGTTTGGGATTTGGTCGTTGTTGGGTTTGGTGTGTGTGTTTTTGTTTGTTTGTTTTGTTTTGTTTATTTCTTAAGTTTTGATTATTAACTGAATCTGTTACCTCCATGAGGACTGGGGTTGAGGGTAGTGTCATACTTTTCCCAGAATCAAAGGGCTGAAGAGTTTGCTGTTTCAGTTCAGTCACTGTTGCTTCTCTGACCCAAATCTTCCCTTTTCTGGGTGTTGTGGTTTAACTCCAGCCAGCAGGTAGGCACCATGCAGCCGCTCACTACGTGGGGGCATGACCTATCTGACACACTTTAGAAAAGCAGAGAAGTCAGTCTCCTCAAGATGTCTTTTTCTGTAGGTACCAATGTTATTTTTGGTTATACCTCTGCTTACCATATGACAATGCTTGTGTGTTATACTCAAAATGCTTTTGTGTGAGCTGTACCTTCCCCTAAACATGGGTGCTTTTGTCCAGGCATGACTGAACTTAGCCCTCTGTGGAGATTCAGGTGCCCTGGATTTTCTTTCTGCTTCTGTCACCAGCTTTTCTCTGTGACCTTAAGCAATTCACTCAGCTTCTCTGAACTTGAGTTCCCCATCCATAAAGTGATGTAGTTTCTAAGTATGAACCACTCAGGTTGATGACTGTGTGTTAAATGCTCAGATAGTAATGAGAAGGCTACACCAGAAGTCTATATACAAAATAAATCCTGCTTCTGCATAGATTCCTTAGAACATTAGAGTAGACTGTGGCTTCCACAGGTGGAAGAGAGAACAGCTTTGCCTTACATTTCTTGTTAAACATGACTAGAACTGCTTATTTAAAGGCTGTGGAAGAGGTAGTATGACTATAGTCTGTACTCCTTATTTGTCAGGTCTTGCCTTTCTCACTGTGTTTGTCTCTCTGTAGGCTCCTTTTAGTACTGTTTATGCTGACATATACAAAATCAACATGACTCTGCATAGATCTTCACAAATGTTGAAAAGAAATAAATGAAGTACTGAAGGATGCAATCCACCCCATTATTTTTGCCTGTTCTTTAAGCATGACATCTTTGTGTACCACCAAACTTTTAGTGTTTTACCAAAGGGTGTCTTCAGGAATCTTTTATACAAATCTTCCCATATCCTCTCATGATTTAATCATCCTTCCATGCTCCAGAGTTGTCCCAGTACCATCCATTCTCTTCTTTCATTGTTTTTAGCTTGTCTTTCATATTTTCCCCATGTGGCTTTCCTAAGTAATGCTGCCTGTCTTAGTTTACAATACTAAAAGCTGTTGGTATCGACTGTGCTATTTCCTTTCTTGCCCTCTTCTTTTTAACTTTTTTTCCTACAGATGAGCCCCATTTGTGGTGATTGATTGTAGGGAGAAGTTAAACATTACATGAAATCTTTCTAACCCAAGGTGCTTATTCCTTATGTGTCTCTAAAGCCTCTTCCATCCAGCCCCACAATGGGAGGAAAGGCCTCTTTTCTTCTTGAATCTGTCTAAATGTGTAAGTGGCATGAAATGTGCTGATGTGGGGGGATCTTTTTTTCACAATGTGGGAAAGACTAGACAATCAGAAAGAGCTTGTTCAGAAGAGAAGGGTATTCAAAAGACAACATGGACCTCCAAGAAGAAAGAGAAGCTATCACAAATACAGCTTGAACTGTAAGACAGTTTATTGGTGATAGATTTTTGCATAAAAAAATAATTTGGCTTTCTATTAAGAAATACAACTGTTTTAATAAGTACAAAATAATAAAACTTGCTTATTTAAAAGAACTGAATCTGATTGTTTCCTCCTTCTCTGTAGGTTTGTAACACTACCACAGATCGTAAACACGCAGACACATCCCTGGAGAAATATGTCACTGAGCCTGTCATGAGCATTGTGAGTGGCTTCTTCAATTCACCATTTTCAGACAACAGCACCAGTCTCCAGGTAAGGAAGAGAGACACAGACAAACATGTAATTCGGACCATTAATGAGATACTTTCTGATACACAGATAGGAATTCTGTATCTTTACATCCTCCTGTCGTTTCTCAGTCCCCTCACATGACAGGGACTAGCAGCTTAATTCCTTTTATAAAACACCTAGCCTTAATTTTTATCACTTACAGCTCTGAACAAGCAGACAGCTCAGTATGGTCAGATTTACTCCTGGCTCTTATGATTTCATTGGAGGGGGTGTCCTTGCAGAGTAATGGTCTGTTTGTATTTACATGAGAAAAAGGCTGTGTCCTGTGACAAAGGGGACAGGTACCTGAGAACTAGGAAGACTCCTCCATCCTGGTGCTCTGTGCTGTGTTTGCTAGCTATCAGTGGTAATCTGAGGAAAAATTGCATGATTTGGCCTTTTTAGAGGTGCAACATTGATTTCTATTCCCTCCAGAGAAGCAATGAGAATTTAATGGAGTTCTAACTTGAGTCTATAAGCAAAAAAGCCCTTGCATGTGGCTTATGTTGTGTCAAACCCTAGGGCAGTTGTGAGGAGACTCTAAAGGATAAAATTCCATGTTTATCTTTTTGTTTTCAGACACACCAGCCTGTTTTTATTCAGCTGCTGCAGTCTGCTTTTAGGATTTACAACTGTACCTGGCCAAACCCAACGCAGAAGGCCTCAGTGGAGTCATGTATCAAGACTTTGGCTGAAGTGGGTAGGTGCCAGGCTTTTCTTTCATTATTTTTCTGTGTTTTAATATCAGACTTTCTTGAGGTTGAACAGTTTTCAATCTAACTCTACCACTCTGAAATTGTGACAGTGATGATTTCAGGAATCCCACTTTCTGAAGCTAAATTCTTCCTGCTTTTGTAACCCATTCACTTGTTGCACAATTGCTATGCATTGCTACTGTCAGAGAATACTCATCATTTTTCCTCTCACTTCCTGGGAGATGCATTTATATTTGTCAGTCAGAGTCCTGAGCTTGTCCAGGTATTGTCCTGTCAGGGAGGTGGGGATGGAAACCACAACTGTGCCTCTTCTTAGCTCCTCTGCTTACTCCTCACCATCATTGCTGTAACACAGTCAGCCTTGTCAGGGGAATATTGCCTTTCACTGACACTGAGACCAAATTCAGTCCTCAGGGCAGCTGATAAGTTACATGCTTTCAAATACGTTCAAACACCATGTTAAAGTGGAATATTTAAGACTCCTTAGCCTAAAATAAAAGAGATTCTTCACCAGTGCATAATGAAGACTGGCGAAAGTTCATTCCTAAGTTAAATTTCTGTGAACATGATTTAAAATTTTCCTGTCATGATAAACAAAAGGATTATTCAGTATAATTTTTAAAAGCCATCCATAGAATCATAGACTGGTTTGGGTTGGAAGAGAGATTAAAAATCATCTAGTTCCAACCCTGCTGCCATGGGCAGGGACACCTCCCATTAGGCCAGGTTGCACAAGGTCCCATCCAACCTGGTCATTCTGATTATTTGTAGAATAAGGTTCTGCTCAGCATGAATGAAAACTGAGTAGAGGCAGGGATATATACATAGAAACTGGCTAAACTCTATTGTTGATGCAATTTTTTAAAAGTCCTAGTAAATAAAGATGAAACGATATGAGAGGGTCCCTTAACCATCTGTGGCATTGTAACAGTCGACTCTAAATTTAGATTTTGGAAGAGCTTTACAGGAGTATTTTTTAACATTTTAGCCAAAACCTCTCATTAACATTTTGCGTGAATGAAAATAAGCAGTTACCTAAAAACTCAGCAAGCTTCAGTTGCTTTATTTGTTGTGGAAATGATTTAATTATGGACCCTTCTGGCAAGAAAACTTTGGAAGTTGAAGACATTTGGTTTCCTTTATGCTGCAGCTACTACAGTCCCAGATAAAGCTCTAGTCCTACAAGTCCTTGTTTGTGTGTTTAACACTTACCTTGCTGCTCTTCTCTGGCAGTTCTGGAAAGAGTGATCAATAAATTACTTCCTTTGGGAGGGTGGGGAAAGGAGGAGGTAGGGCAGGTGAGAGTGGTTTTGAGCCCTGTTTGTGCTTCTAGACAGCTCAGTGTCTTAATTTCTGTTAGAACTACACCTCAAATCAAGTTCTACCTCAGAGAGGTCTCTGTGTTATCTCACTGAGATAGGGGTAACTGGAGACACCCAAACATAGAGACAACCAAGCTGAAGGATTGTTTGGGTGTTTTTTGGGTTTTGTGCTGTTGTATGGGTCCAACCTTCTTGTTACTCTGGCTTCTTGCCCATGGGACCCCAGCCATGCCTTGGACACTCTCACGTGTGGCAGAATGGAGCTGAGCTGCTGGTGAGGGACATCACCCCGTGTCCTCCTCTGGAACTTCCCTGCAGCAGCAGCAGGGCAGGGAGGCTGCAGATCACCTGGGGGTGCTGTTATGCCCCCTGAAAGTATGTGTGAGCATGCACATGGCTGATTTCCTTGTCCACAGCATAATTATTTTCAAGGATTCATCACTAATACCAATATCAAACATGGTAGAATTGCACCCTGTTGAGTTAGCAAATCGCCACACATTTTCATTTGGTGTTTATTTTGGCAGTGCAGAAGGGGAGCATAAGGGAACAGAGAGGGGAATTTCCCCAAAGAGCAAGTTAGCTGGAGAAGAAGTGGAAGCAGAGCTTTTAACAACCCCCCCTGTGTGGTTTTTAACAGACATCCCTGCAAAGGTTTGGCTGGCTAGCAGGGATTTTAACCACTAGTGATACTCAGTGTTTTTAGGCACGGTGCCAAACATGTCCTGCCTGGGCTAATTGAGTAGGGCTGCTCTGCTCTGCTGAAAGCCTTGGAAAAACTGGCCCAGCTGGGAGTACCAGAGGCATTTAAAATCGAGGCACTTTGGAGTTATTAATTCAATTTTGAGTTATTAATTCAATATCAATTAGAGTGCGTGCCCGGTGCCGTTCTCTGTCAGGTGTTCCACCACACAGAACGGTGCCTCTCTTTGAGAAGGCAGAGGTTTCTTCCATCATACAAACAGAGCAGCCTTTTCTTTCCCCTCTTTTGCTGCCTCTGTCTGTGGACTAGGTTTGGATTTTGGCTACAATCTGTGAGCATCCTTATGCCTTTTTTTTTTTGCCTTTTTTTTTTTTTTTTTTTGACTTGAGAGTCTGACAGCTTTAATGTTTGGGCCTTCATGTTTCACAGCAGGGTTTAAAAAAAAAGGTCTAAGAAGATTTTGTCTGTATCAGAGAGATAGAGTGTTGGATAGAATTACAGCAGGGACCAAAGACTTGATGGAAAATAAGTGCAGTTTAGAGTTAAAAGAAGAACCAGGATTTTTTTTTTTTTCTGTGTGTGTGGTAGCCCTGGATTTAGACGTGACTCTCAGGAGGAAGAAAGATCATACACAGATTTCCCAGGATATCAAAGATCCATATAATAATGCACTTTTAAATACCCATTTCTGAGCAAGTTTAAGCAACATCCATGCTGCTGAGTGCTTACTAGTTTGTTGCTGGCAGGTGGATGTAAGTATAGCCTCAAGAGCTTAAGATCACTACATATGTCTTCTTATGAACACTGCAAGAATGTGCATTATCTTCCAGGTCAACAAAAGGATACGTTGCAGGAGCTAATTTCTTATAAGCTTGGTACTTCAACTCCACTTGACCACTAGGGAGAAACTTTATAAGCTTTTCAAGCTTAATTTGCTGCTTTGTCTCCAGGCGGTTGTCTGCCTCCAGTTCAGCAAGCATAGAGCCTTTCTTCTTCTTTTCAGCAGACCCCTCTGTGGCTCCAAGAGATTTGGGACACAAAGATACCAATAGGCATGAGGTTTTTATTGCCCAGTACACTTTTGGCTACCTGGTGTGAATAGAAACATGAAATAATATGTCTGTTAATAATAGTGTCTTGTTCAGAAGGAGTTTATCACAGTAACGAAAATTAACACATTATAAATACATCACTTTTGCCTTTTCTCTATCATTACATAGGACTGAGCTTTTTGTCTGAAAATATAGTCCAAATAAATGATCAGAACAGCTCCAAGCTCACATGTAAAACAGCTAGAAATGAAAAATGTTTAAGAGGTCCCCTGGGCTTTGTGAAAACAGAGGAACTAAGACATCTGACAGCTTATTTCAAATTAATTCATTATCAAAAGACTTTCAGTTCCTATGTCTTATAATCTTTGCAGGACTGAGAAGGGTGGAGGCTAGTTTCAACATTTGCATTCTAAACCATCTGCATGGTCTACATGTCTTTCCATGTCGTAAAACTGGGGAATAACACCCATCCTCACAACAAAAGATCTGCATTGTGTATCCTAAATTGTATTGGAGCAGGGTCTTTCTCCCAGGGCTGACCAATCTTTCAGGGCCCGTGCAGATAACAGTCTTTGCTTCTTAATTAAATGATGATTCTTTTATCTTCACCCCTGATAATTCTTATATCTTCACCCCTGAACATCAGATTTCTTTTCTGTTACAAGGTGAATCTAGCTGTATTGTACTCCTGTCTCTGTGGCATCCATTAGCCATCTCCCTTATGGTTTTGTGTTTTTACAAATTGCATCTTCCCTCTGATACTGTGGGTGTATCCCAGGGATGTACTATGAGTATGGCTGTGCTGTTTACCACCAAAAATAAATTAATTGGGATTTCCCAGGTAAGGGAACAGTGGCAGAGAGGAACCTGCATTTTGATAGAGTATTTCTCTTGGCAGACCCTTGCAAAAAAAAAAAAAAATCTGTTAGCAAGCTAAATTACATAAAGTATTATCAGATTAGGATGCTGTGCAGGAGAAGCAAAAGGAGAAGACTTGTTTCTCTCCTACAAAAGTGGAGGTGAATCCTGTCAGACTGCTATTTTGTAAGTTCAAAAGGGGAACAGGTACAGAGGAAGTACTACTGGGATGGGCAGGGGAAAGTGGAACTCTGTTACAGGAAAGGCTTACAGGAGCCCCACAGCTTTTGCCCAGCAAAACAAAGGCCTGTGTTCTTGCTCTTTAAAAGTACTTGGGAAGATAAATGGTCACAAAGAAGAGACATTTAAGCTAAAGGACAGTGCTGACCTAAAAACAAATGGATGTAATTTACACTAGGTTGTAAATAACCTAAATAAACTTAGACTGTAAATCAGAGGTTTGGAGCCAACTTTGGAAGGATGTCCTTGGTCAAGAGGCCAAGAGAAAAGGGAAGCAGGAGGGACTGCAGAAAAGCTAGCTTTATTTCAAATGGGGCTTGATGTGTTTTTCAGAAGATACTAAAGAACATGGCTTGTCTGTAATGGAGAGCAGATGGTCTGAAGGAGCAGTGAAGTCCTTACTAGTTGTGTATTTAATCCCCAATTTCAGCTACCAATACACTTTTGTGCAAAATCAAAAAAAAAAAAAACCTCTTGTGGTGTTTCTTGACCATGCTCCTATGTCCTCTAAAGCCCTTTTCTTTTCCCTGAAAAATTACAAACAGGAAACAATATATATATCTAGGCTACATTTTATTGGTTCTCTGGAATTATTGTGCATATTTTAATGTCCATATGGATGGACTCTGCTATAATTTTTTTTTCAGCCCTGAAGATACTTCATTTTGCTTCCCATTTGAGTTTGAAATCTTTCTTTTCTATTTTATAAAAAGCTAGACCTTCATTTTCAATTTTTAGTTCAAATAAAATAATTATCCTGTTGTTACTTTTTTGACAGCAAGAAGAATACATATCAGATGAAGCCCATA